GGTCTAATATCTCTTACATAATTAGCTTTAAATTTCCAAAAAAGTGCTTCATAATTTCCAATTGTAGTTAATAATGGAATTAAATTAGAATTTGAATCAATTGCAATTGAACTATATCTTTCTAAAAATTTAACCCATCTTGTATAACATGTTAAAAATCCATTATCAAATACTAAATTACCAGATATGGCAATAAATTTAGGATTATATTTAGTAATTGCTAATTTTAGTAAATTAAATGCATTATCATTATATCCAAATTCAGATGATTGAATAAAATTTAAATTATTATTATTTATATTATTTGAAAATGTTTTAAATTGTTTTAAATTTGAATAAATTGGTTCACTTCCATTTATAGTAATCATTCCAACTTTAAAATTATAAATAGTATTTTCATTTAAATTTGTTAAAATACAAGTATGTACATATCTTGATACTAATTCAGTTTCAATTTCATTTAAATCTTGAAAATTACAATTAATTGTTTCATTTACCATATTTGTATTATTAATTACTATAAATGATAAAATAGGTCTAGATTGAGTAAAAAATTTAATAATAAATTCATTTTGTGGTTTTTCATTTAATAATAAAGTTAAACTACAAATATTATCAGAATTACAAATATTCTTTCCTTCTTTGGAATTTACATATCTGGTAAATGTTGTTGAAAATTCAAATTCATTTAAACAAATACAACTTCCATAAAAAAATGATGTTAATACAACTGTTATAATCATACTAATTATTAAATATATTATAAATATTATAAATCTTGTTGTAATTCCATATTGTAATGATTTTAAATAAATAAATAAAAAATTATATTTTTTTATATTTTTTTTATTTTTTATATTATTATTTAAATTATTTTCATTATTATTAGATAAATTATTATTTTCATTATTATTTTCATTAGATAAAATAGATAAATCTAATTTAGGAATAGGTGGTCCATCAATAATTGAAAATTCTAATTGTTGATGTAATTCTTCCTTTTTTAAAATTACTTTTTTAGAACGTTGTTTAGTTAATGGATTTTCACTTTCCATATTAGTATTATTATTATTATTATTATTATTTAAATGTATAGTTTCACCTAAAACAGGTGTTGATACAGTAGTAGGTGTCATTGAAATTGCAGAATTTGTTACAATATTATTTAAATTATTATTTTGTAATTCAAATTCCTGATTTGTATTATTATTTAAATTATTATTATAATTAGGATTATATTCTTCATTGACTTGAATTATTTCTAAATTTGATTGATCAATAATATTTAAATTATTTAAATCTTGTTCATTTTGTTGTAATTCTTCTTGATTTGAATTTGACATTTTGTCATTATTAATTGATAATTCTAATTGTTCATTATCTAAATCATCAATTGATTGTAATTTATCATTAATTAATCTATATCTAACACCATGTATTACTATTATTATTGTTAAAAATAAATTAATTGAAATACCTGCTCCCCAATGTAAATATTGAACTATATTTTTTTTTTAACACACATTTTACAATAAATATTAAATATTAAAATAAATATTAAATATTAAATATTAAATATTAAAATAAATATAATAACTTACAAGCAACAAGAGATGAAATATAAGTAATTAAAGCATAAACAATAAATAATAAAAATAAATTTTCAATAAAATATAAAATTTCCATTCCTAGCCAACATTTTACATTTTTAGATAAATTACAAGTAAATTCTTCCTTTTCTTCTTCATAATTAAATGGATCAAATTGTAATATTGTTGAAATTCCTTTTATATCATTTTCATTTAATTGTTTATTATTATTATTATTATTACTATTTATAGAAGATAATCTAATTTGTTTTTCTTTTTTTTGTAAACAACATCTAATAATTAATATAATAAAATATAATATTATAAATATTATTAAAATAGCAGAACTAAATACAATAGATAATAAATAAACTGTAAAATTATTAGATTTAAATAAATCTTCAATCATTTATAATTGGAATATATATTGTTAACAATATGATGATTATGATATGATGATATTATTATTAGGAATGATGATGATGAAATAATGATTGTGAAATGATGTGATGATATTTTTTTTGTGAATTTTGGATGATTTTTGACATTTGATGATAACAACGACTATTATCTAAATCGTTCACAGTTATGAGCGAACAACTTTGAAGAGAGAAAGGAAATGAAGGAATTTGTTTCTAATACAAAGTTCTATTATCAAGTTCTTCTTGAACACTAATTTATTACAATGAAATAACATTTACATGCAAATTCATCACTCAATACTTTTGTTTAATATCAATAACATTAACATTAACATCATTATCATGTCAATAACAATAATAATAAAAACAACAATCAAAAAATAAATTTTATCCATTTCATTTCAAATATATATAAATTTATTTCAAATATTTAAATTTACTTTTTTGTAATTAATAAAGATAAATCATTTTCATCAATAAAATAATTATTATTACAATAATCACAAGTAGATTCAAAATGAATTTTTTCACCATTTACAATTTCATTTCTCATTTCAATTAATTCATTTACATTTATAGTATTTAAAGCATTTAAAATTAAATCTTTTGAACATCTACAATAAAAATCAATTGGTTTATATCTAACTGTTTCTAAATTTTCATTAATTATAAAATTATAAAATAAATTATCATGTACATCTTGTCTATTATTAATTTTTTTAATCATTTCATTTAATTTACTTTTATAGTAATTTAATTCTTCTGATAAATCTTCACTTGATGGTAATTTTTGTATAATTATTCCAAATGATATTGGATCTAATCCAAATTCTTGTTTACATACTAAACTTGTTACTGTTGGTATTTGTTCAGATTTTTCAAAGAATTCTTCAAATGTATTATTTAAATTACTAAATTCAGAATTATCTAAAATAAGTGGTAATGATGATGTTACTGGTTTGGAATGATTCATTAAAATTTTAGAAACTGAAAATATATCATTCTGTTCATCATCACCTTGATCAAATTTAACAAATCCTCTAATTTCACCTACTTGAATACTTTCAACATGTACATAATTAATTAAATTATTATTATTATTAATATTATTATTATTATTATTATTATTATTACTACTATAATTGGATGTATTATTGGATAAATTAATTATATTTGAATTTGAAATGAATAATTCTAATTTAATTCTTTCTTCACCTTTTAATAAAGAAGATAATAACATTGAAGCACTCATTGATTGTCCCATTAAATTAATTGCTTTAAAATCATGAGTACTTGAATGAGGATTTAAATTAAATTTGTTAATAAAGGTTTTTAAACAATCACTACTATCTATTAAACTAACTCTAAATTTACCACAATCAGACATGTAACTTTTTACATAATCTCTCACTCTCTTTCGGAGCATTTTGGTACCACTTGCTGCATTTAATACATAGTGTGAGGTTTTCATTTTTTTCGAATCACCAAGCCTTTATCCAATTACCTAGGAGACGGTTTTGCCATAATCATTAATTTAATTTTAACATAATTTGCTCATAATCAAACCAGAATACACCATAATTTTGACGTAATTTTCCCGCAATAAAAACCAAAAAAAATACACAATCACATCATAATCTCTTCGGAATTATCATATAATTATACAGCAATTCACAACCGGATTTGTCATTTCCAGGCAAAAATATTGGATTTATTACGGATATTATTACGAGGTAATTATTAATTAAATTACGTAATAATTGTATTAACATTATGAATTTAATATGGAATAATTATGTAAATATATTGGAATAATTATTACAGAATTTACGATAGATTTTTGACCTAATTATTTTATAAAATTATGAAATATATTTAATTTTAATTGAATTTGATTTATTTGATTATTTACAGTAAAGCAAATTACACAGAAACTAACAAATATTGAAACAATGGGAACTGTACAAAGGGAAATGACTGTAGTTTCTGTTGTTGCAACAGATGAACATGAAGATGAAAGAGTTATGTGTTGGAATTGAGTGAATTGACTGTGAAGTGACTCCAAAGGCAACAGAATTAGTTGACCAATTAACTAAGGAAATTAATATTCAATATTGAATTATTGAATTATTGAAAAATTGAAAACTTCAGTGTAACTTACGTGATTGTGGAATTAAATTTGGAAATTAATTAAATTCGGAAATTAGACTGAATAATAATAATAATAATAATAATATTGGAATATTTGAATTAAAAGTTGATAACAAACCATATCTACAGCCATAGAACTATCAATTTTAGTTTTTTTGTTTTTAGTTGGTTCGGATAATTTATCTCTATAAGCTTTATATTGATCATCTTGTTCATAAATTATTGCCTCATCTTCTACTGCAAATTTCTTACCAGAATCACGTGTTTTTTCTACTTGCTTTCGTTTCAAATTCTTCTTCTTGTTGCTCTTATAAGCTCGGCAACAGTTCAACACTATTTCATCAATCTGAACAGTAAAATTAAACAAACTATTAGCTATTATAATCTAACTTACGATTAAATTAAATTGTTTTTCATCTTTTTCACAATTATTTTTTAAACTTTGAATTTGTGCATTGTTAGCAAAAAAATTTGTTACTGCCACCAATGATGTTGCAGCTACTTGTTGTATTTCTATGTCAGAGTCTGCTCTTAGTTTCTTTGGAAATTGTAACAAAATCAATTAATTACTTACCAAGGAATAATAGCTAACGTTGGTTTCATTAATAATTTCCAAGTATCTATCTTGCAAAGGTTTCAACAAGGTGACAAAGTTGTCAGGAACAAGACTTGTACAATAAGACAGTTTTTGGTGGTGTGTCTTTGTCGTTTTTCTTTTCTCCACCTCTTTTTTTCGTTTTAACGAAATTCCTTGTTACGATACATTACTCGAAAGGAAAAAAGCAATGATCAATTTTGAATACAAACAAGAAGATGGATTTGCAGCAATTTCATTTGAGAATAATTTGAAATTGTTGTTGAAAGATCAAGCAATCACAAAACACATGTGCTTAACACGAAATGAATATTTTGAAAAAAAGAATATACAAAAGAAAGAAAATCAACCTTACTTTTCAAAAATATTTGGTGAATACCTTGCTAAATGCCCTGAAGATGCATTTCCATTTCTAGTTTTAGAATATTTTGATGATTTTGCTAAATTCAGAACAAAAACCAAGTCAACATGCGCCTCCTATTTCACAAGTTACAATTTTGATTCAGATTTCATGTCAAGTTTAAGCGCAATTCGTGTAAACGGTTTTTCATGGAGTAATGAAGGATTTTGGAAAATGACTGATTCAATTATTCAAGATTTTGAAAATCATGATGGTAAAATCATTACAGTGAAACATCCAACCACAGGAGAAGATATTAAGCTATTCATTTGCTGTATGGGATTTTTATTAGATACACCTGAAAGATTGAAATGTTTAGCACTTATGAAAAATGAATGTTCCAGATGTTTAGATGCGTCAGACAACCTTGACAAAACACCAACAGATTTAATGGGTGCATCCGCGTTTAATCCAACATGTGTACACACATTTAAAAGGAGAGAACATTCAGAAATGAAAGATATTGTTGAGAAATTATCAGAATTACCTAAAATTGCGGATTCTAAACAAAATAGAATTGCAAGGAAAGGTGTAAAAGAACAAACTTGGGAAGAAGAGAGATTCAAAAGTAAGCAAATGTCAACAAACAAAAGAAAACAATTGATGAATCAATTAATTGTCAAAACATTCATCAAATCAAGATTTGTTACTCAAATAATGATAGATCCGTATCGTAGATCTGTAGTTGATTTCTTTCATTTAGAAATTCAAGGATTATTTCGAAAACATCTCAAATTACTTGTACAAGCATAG